AACCTGCAGATTGAGAGCGAAGTGCTCTGTTAGGAACATAAGGAACAATCAGATCTCTGATATCAGATGGAGCTTGGCCATTTAAGGCTTTATATGTCAGAATTCCTCAGATTTTAAATTGAAAAGTTCAAAATCTCAAGAGAAACGTCTTGAAACTTGGAAACAAAGTCCAGTGGATTGTTTTTAACTTTTTTAGCAGAGACCATGGCCTGGATGACTGAGAGTTTTTACCAGAATATACCCTGCTTCATTTTATTGGAGCGTCTAAACAACTGGGTCGGCCTTTCTGGAACTGGACTGGTTTAAACCCTATTTAGGACAGGGACTTCTTGTGTCATTAGCGAACTTTAGATTAGAGGCTGTAAAACATGTGGCGTTCCCAAAGGGTCCATTTTAGGGCCCCTTTTATTCCTCACTTTATTTTATTTTTAACTCTCAGTCTGTTTTTGTTGTTTACCTGGACGTAGTTGGCAGCCGGTGAGGAGACCTCCAGACGGGCTTCCTTCTCTCTGCCCCTCTCTCTGTAGAAAGCGTCCAGGACCAGATTATGGACGCTCAGCCACTTGCTGGCCGTCAGCTCGGAGGTGAGCTGCAGGGTGCGGGGGTGCGTCTGGCTCAGCTTGTGGGAGGTGTAGACGTACAGCCCCGGTGTGTCCATGCTCAGCGTTCCTGGATGGAAACGAGCGCTCATAGTCAGGGTTTGGATACAGGTGTTTGGTTTCTCCAACTTTATTCTCATACCTTCCCATTTCTTATGCTGAGAGTTTTTGGGGGGGCTTTTCCAGTGTAATCCAGCCACCAGAGGCATCAGGTCGTTGTAATTGATTTTTAAGTGGGTGCTGCTCTCCGAGCCATGCTGCGTGAGGACAGAGTGCATCAGCTGCGTCCTGTAGTTCAGATTCTTCTCTGGTACCTGGAGAATGAACTGGAAACACAGGGAAGGAAATCAGTCACCTTCCTGAACACCAAACATCCCTCCCTGGTGTTTGCAGAAATGATTAAAAGAAAAAACAGGCGGGACTTTACCTCCAGAACGTAACTGGTGTGGTTTTGTGCAGACTGGTTTTTAAATGACTGACTGAGGAGAAGAGTGTGCTTGTTGTTGATCTGGTCCCAGTGTTTGCCATAGCTTAAATCCAGCAGTGATTTAACGTGCGCCGGTCCTTCCTCATGCCTCGCGTGGATCTGTCACACACATCTGGGTCAAGACTCATTGCAATAAGGAGGGAAAGAACAGCAGCCATCAGCAAAGGATT